ATTTTTCTTTAAAAAAAATAAAGCACCACAAGCGTTCAAATCCTATCTTCAATAAACCACTTTAAGTCTTGAACAAAGTCTAAAAAGACTAAAAGCATCAGAAGCTCATTTTGGCCAACGTCACTTTTCACATAGATAGACTTACATCAGTTGATTCACATATAAAGTCACATCATCACAATCCACACATTAATAACTCCAATCACAATATTTACATATCCTTTCTTTGCAAAGCTTCCTGGGACCAGCTCCATACCAAGTTTTTTAGATGTGATTATGCTAATCTCAACATAAGAAGTTTCCCTTTTAGACGCAACTCTCCTTATTCATCCATCCACATCTTGCATGATTGTATGAAGACTAGGCAAGTATGGCTAAAAACTTGTTAATCATTCCAATTTTAATGCTTTCTTCTCTCTTCCTTTACAGGACTAGATTCTTTAGAATGCAAAGAATAATAGGAGGTCTAAGAGCTAGGAAAATTCTATGGAAAAGATATTTTGCTCACTTATACTGGAACATCTGGAAAGGAAAATGCAAGTCAGTTTACTTGGAAGAGGATATCCTTGCTAAAGACATAGCCTTCACCTCCACTCAAGAGTTAATCAGTAATATGAACCTCCATGCAAGACTCAATCGTTTATATCTTGACATTAATAAGACTTTTGTAAGATGGATCCCGCCTGACCCTAGCTATGTTAGATTTAACACTGACGATTCAATCAATTACAAAGGAGCTACTACTTGTGCAAGCCTCATCTCGGATGATCAAGGAAACTAGCTTAAGAGTTTCTCTAAATACCTTGACTATTATCCAAACACCACTATTAAACTTTTAAGTATTCTCAAGGGTATCAACCTATGTTGGACATATGGTTTTTCCAAAGTCAACATCTACTTGGAATAAAAAGCAACAATGTCCTTGATGTTTAGGATACTCGATGCTCTTAAATGAATAATTGAGGTGTAAAATTTGCAACGGAGAGACTAATAAAGTTACCTTTACTAATCCTCCCTAATCTCCCAAAATCTATGTAATCATCAAGTTTGATCAAATTATACAAAAGAGATCCTAAATTTTCAATATTTTAAATACTACTATACACTTTCTATATTCCTGAATCATAGTTTAAAACATTTGTGAAAGCATGAAAATGAAAAAAGAATCAAAACATTTGCATATAAATTCCAAAATAGTGAACAATGTAGAAAACAATGCATGTGCCTTGGCCAGCACTCCTGTGCCGTGGCATGTTATCTCTATGCCATGTATCGTGACACATTGCATGAGTTTGATAGCATTTTGCTGTCAAATTGATAGCACAGGAGATGAACTTTTGGCGTGTCTCAAATCTCCGTCTGATGTTCAATTAAGGTGATATAGGTTTCTATAGAGAGCTTTCTCCTAACTGTAGCTAATGGTACAAGTTTCACAATCAAATTATATTTATCAAAAGTTGGATACCTCTTATCAATTTCACTCGTTTTTCACAAAAACACACAACTATGTTGCCTAAACTTTCATATATGTGTTAAAAGCCAATACTAACTTTTAGACCATACTCAATAGACCATTTAAGACTCGTGCAATACACCACAATCCAATTAACAACCATGTACCATAAATTAAACCATCAACCCCTCAATTCACCAAAACATAAGAGAGTAATTTTGTATAAATCATTAATATTCATCCAAAACAATCAAAATACACTTTACCCTACTTGCACTGGTATTTCAACCCTATATAAGCTGTATAACGATATGCCAACAACCCAAGGCATGAAATACACACAATATTTTCATTTATAATGCAAGTCACTCAAAATAATGGTATGAGTTCTAGTTGACAAATTAACAAGTTAAATACACAAATATGAAACTAAAAGGCCTATAAGTATGAGTCTTATACCTTTAGTCATTTTTTCCGATCCTGATCTAATAAACTAAGTCTTGAAAATATTGAAGAATGATGAGTGAGTATAACCATTTAGTAATAAAGGCCAACCTAGTTTATACAATTGCATATCAATTAAAAAATGAATGCAAATGGCAATAAATTAAAATACCACACACATAACACAAATATTCTCAACCATAACAATAACAATCATGTGACCGAGCATGCAATCATTGGACATAGCACAATTTTTCACATCTTAGGGTTGCAAAAATAATAACCATGCACCCTTAAAATATGTCGAATCATAATAGTAACAATCATATGGTCAAAACTATAAATGCATGATCAATGCCAGCTTTATACTCTCATGTTACATCTAACTTCAAACAAGTAGCTATTAATAGCTACGTCCATAACTCAGACTAACCAAGCCTTTCACTTGTGAGAAGCTACTAGGTCAATGTTAACTTATTCACTTGTGTACTACGATTTCCCCTAATACTAACAACTATAGGGTATCGTACCCCTAATTTAGCCTCCTCATAAACCAATGGAGACTAGTTAGGTTTGAGTTACTCAAAGAACAAGTAAGACAGTCCTGAATCAATCATAGAAAAATGGTTACCTCTAGATTCTAATAGTCAGTGCCAAGGCAAGCTTCCGATTCCAACGGTAAGCCGCCATTATTATGTGGATTTATCAATCTACTCCTTTTCCTAGGTGAACTTTCACCCATAATCATGCTATGTTTATATTATACATATGCAATTCAACCAACAATCATATTATATTTCATCCATAATCACATTTTCTCCACTATACAACACATACTAATTATCATTCATTATTTTTATAAAAACATGTTCTCAAACATCAACATTAGTCACAATTGTACAAGTGTGTATATTATTTCTTCACACTCCTAAGAAAAATTCACATTGCAACATTTGCATTAATGGGCTCTTAAGCACCCAAGTGAATTTTTAAATGATTTAGTTCAACAAACAAATTAACATACAATTATACAAACAAGATTTTCCTCAATTACCTTAAACCTTTAAAAGGTCAAAAGTTTATCCTTTAAAATACAAACTTTCAAAGCTTTTTCTCAAGCTTGAATGGTGTCAATTGGGTTAATCTATAATCATTTCACAAGGATAACATCATTACCTTTTTTAGGCAATTTCCAACATTATAACTGCACATACTCCCTTTCATCAAAGTCATGAACTTACTACCCATCATACTTAGATTTACTAGGTCCTAAAAACTCATATTATCATTAATGAAACATTAAACCACTTTAGTGGTAATCAAACACTCCCAACAATGTTATTTATTGCCATTTTTAAATATTAATGGCCCTCAATAACTAACAACTCACAAAATCGTAATATAAGGTTTAAATACTCTAAACAACCCTCATTACATTATTTAGCCAATGTGTTAGGACCCATAGTTCATATGGACTAAAAATTATCATTAACACTCAAACCCTAACTTTAACTTTCATGAAAATGCAAAAGAAAAGGAAAGAGGAAGACATATTATACTTACCTTGTGAGTTAGGAAGCTCTAAAATATCTCAAATGGTTTCTAAATTGGTGCTCTAGTAGAGCAATTGGTGTGCTCTCATTTTCCTTCACTCCTCTCTTCTAATTTTTCAAACAGACACGAATTGGTTTAAGCATGATTTTGGTTATGTGCTTGATGCATGGCATAGAAAGGCCCAGCTCACGTTGGTGGCCTTTGTGCGTCATGGCGAATGTTTCTTATGCCACTGCATGTGGCACAGAGCACATTTCTTCTATTCTTCCTCTCCTTTGGATGACTAGATGGCCCGACTTCACTTCAGACCGCATTTAAGGCTAAAATCACAATCAATTACATAAAGTAAACCTCTCTAGCCATACACACTATATTAATTCACTTAATTATCCTCATTAAACTTAATTAATTTGGTTTAAATTCCTAGAATGTTACATAAGGGGCAAAAATGCCTTTTAATCCATTTGCAATTGATAGTTTTTACCAATGTGGATTTATGCTAAATTATATTTTTATGGGAAATGCTAGCAATTGTTAGTTCTTTCATAAAGAGAAACAATGTTCTCTTGTTGTGCACCTTTCATCACAAACAATGGAAATAAAGGAATTGAAGAATACGATATACTCATAATTATACTTGTACAAAACTATTCAGTTTAGCTTTTTATGAGTATATTAGTTACTAACTTTTTGATCTTGATCATGAGGTAATAAAAACATATTGACATATAGTTCTAAAAAAACACACATGAATAGAAGGATTCTATGTGGATTGAGCCAATGATAAGTTGGCCTAACACTTTATTTTGATGCTAAGAAAACTTGAGAAAAATTTTTATTTAAGGATAAATTAATTCAACCTTCCAACTAGTTAAGCCAAGCATCCTTCGATGACTAACATGGCATGATTTAATGAAGAGAGAAATAATTGAACAAAAGCGAGATATATTTCCAAACAATTATTTTGCAAAGGTCCACAGCAAATGAGTTGGGCTCTTGGCATTGTTGGCAAAAATTAATATGAATTGGGCTCTTGCACTTCAAGAAATTTCGAACACGGGACTTGATGAGTAAACACCTAGGAAAATTCCACTTAACCACAAATGCATGATGAAGTTAGTGGCGCTCTTGAAACTAGAAAGAGCATATGATATCCTGTGTAGTTTGAGAGTACAAAATAACTTTTCATCAAATATTGTTTTTTATTTTACCCCACCTAGTGGGATAAAGGCTTGTTGTTGTTGTTGTTGTTGTATTGTTTTTTATTTTCATCCATGTGTGTGTGTGTTTTTTTTTTTGACCAACTATTTTCATCCATGTTTAAAATGCTCCTCTTTCTATGCCGGAAAAATAAAATAAAATAAGTACTGTACTTCACTTTATCCTTCCCTCTTTAATAGAGAGACTATTTTCCCTCAAAACGAAGCAAAGTTCAGCTGCCCCTGGTTTGCTTCAGAAGTTGCACGTCTTATTGCTCATTGAACAAATACCATGCTTTTTAAGCAAAACTTGAAAGTGAAATATCAAACAGATTCAGTGGGAAAAAAAATGAAATATCAAACAGTTAAGTATGACTCAATTAGTTGTTCACTTGAAAGTGAAAATTATTCACAAAAATTTGGCATCACAGTACAATAATGACTCGACGGAGTCAAGCCATATATTCCAACAAAATCAAGGAAAGGGGAGAGAATATTGAATGAGCATATGAGAACTTGTATAGAAAATGATTACATCATATGTAAGCGTTCCAAGAAGAAAACAGAATCTCCCTCGGTACACAGACTAATCGTTGCAAGAGTGTCAGATGAACTACGCCTCCCAACCTCTAAGGAGCGTGGCACGAGAAACACGTTCCACTCCAAGTGCGAAGGCACCCATCCGAAGATTGCAATCGTATGATTTGCACTTGTCCTTTATGTCATGGAACGCTTTAGTCATATAATGATGTAGTTCCCGCTTTACTCTATCCTCGCTCCAGGAGAAACCTTGAATGTTCTGTGTTCGTTAAGTAAAAATTATACAGTATTTAGTCATGTTTGTCCAGTGCTCCAAATCATGAACATAAGTCAAGCTACAGCAAGTAGCGAACAATAAACTGGTAATGAAGTTGCTAAAAAATACATGCCAAGGATATGTATTTTCATGCTGTCCGGCTTGACAAGCTGAAATAATGCAATGAACAAACTTTTCAAAGTAGTTTCAAAATTTCGTTTGAAACTAAGATACTGAGTGATTATGTATAACCATACAGCCAAGCAAATACACTGCAGACAGGAAAAGCCCAAACTCAAGCATATTAAACATTAGATAACAGATTATGCTTTCTCAACTACCTGAACCCACTCAAAATAGCTGACGGTCACGCCTCCAGCATTAGCATATATGTCTGGTAGCACTACAACTCCTTTCTGAGCTAGTTCCTGCAGTAGTAACTTGACTGTGAGAGCTGATATTTCTTATAATCCACAAACAATAAGTAACGGTAAACTCTACAATCTTACCTCATCAGCTTCAGGATCAGTTGGATGGTTTGCTGCCTCAATTATAAACTTTGCCTTCACATCTTTAGCTATTTCCCTTCAGAGACAGCGTAAAATAAGTGCCACGAGTTTTATGATTTCAAAGATCAATTAACTCAATCCTAATCAACAGTAGTTCATGCGTTCAAACATACTCAAACTCATACAGGGGAGCAAGACAAACCAAGTGCATCCATGGGGACAATTTCTCCCCAAAATGCCCACGAATGGACTATAAGAGGAGCATAACTTTATCTTATTTAATAATAGCAGTCAAAGGAACAGTTATTTCAATATTCTAAATGTTGTCGACCAGAAGTTTTAGTGTAAGGCTGATTGAAGAGACAAGTTGTACATATTCTGAATATCCATGTCAGTTTTTTTAGTTCAATTTCTGGCAAAATCTTTTATAATAGATAATGTTTATCTCTTGGAAGGTAAAAAAGAGTTCAGAGTTGAGCAAAAGGTCAAAACCTGTCTATAACTCCACCCAAAGCGCATGGAATTAGAACATCACATTCATGAACAAGCAGTTCAGAAGGGTCCAAATCATCTCCGCCAGGGAAGTCCTTCAAACTCTGAGTTTTTTCCTTGTGCTCAAGCAATTTTGGGATATCGATTCCATTTGGGTTCTTAACAGCACCGGTGATATCACTCACTGCAATGATCTTACCACCTCTTTCATGAAGGAGCTTTGCTGCCCACGAGCCCACATTTCCCAAACCCTTAAAAATGTCCATTACCCGGAAGATAAACTTATTAGACTTGAACAAAAAGGCACTTTATTACAATGAAAAGGCAAAATTTATATGTAATAAGAAAGGTACCTGGATAACAAATGCCAAATCCTTCAGTGACTTCCCATGTTCTGCAAGCAATGCCTCAGTTGCTATAATAACTCCAAGCCCAGTTGCTGATTCCCGACCCACTGATCCACCAAGAGGCTTAAATTCATAGCATGGAAAAGAGAATTCATGTAACTTTCTCCTGAATTCCTTCTTTAAAACAAACTACTCTCATAAAGCATACTTACAATAGGCTTTCCAGTAACAATAGCAGGTGAATAACCATGAAACTTTGAGTATTCATCAAGAATCCATGCCATTGTCTGCACTTGGTGAATACTTTGTACATTCAGTTAAAACAGCACTAGAAGAGAACACGAATTTAAGCATGTAAATATTTGTTATCAGGTTCTCCGATAAATACATGTGAAAAAAATTGACATTCCTTGAGAGATTAAATTATGTCATAATAAAATATAAAAAAATAATTCATTTGCCACCCAAAAAGCTACACCTAATTTCCCTCCATTTAAGATTACAGGCACCAAAAAACCATTATCATACCAACTACAATAATATTTATATTGCAAATACCTGAGAATTAGTGCCCATGTCAGGGGCTGGAACATCAGTATAGATTCCAATAAGGTCATGAATTTTTTGAGTAAAAATACGAGTTAGTCTTTCCATTTCACTGAAGCTTAAGTCCTTTGGGTTGCAATCAACTCCACCCTTGGCACCGCCATATGGAACATCTACCACAGCAGTCTTCCAGCTCATAAGTTGAGCAAGAGCATTTACTTCATCAATATTAACCTTCATTGAAACAAGTTAAGCGATTATTTGAGGACAAAATTCATAATTAAGGAAGATGATTATGTTTGTTATTTATACATTAATCATCGAAAAGAAATTCAATCCCCGGCAGCCTTCCAACGGATTGGCTATGTTATCAAATGGTTACAAGCCAATTATAGATGTTAAAATGCTAGCTTACAACTGATATATGATCTGGGATTTTCAGAAAAACTGATAAACCTTTTAGTTCTGTGTGACCTTATAAAAGACATATTAGCATGCGTGAAGAAATTTTTACATAATTACCAATGAACTTGTGGTCAAATATTCAAGGAGTAGACAATGGAAAATTATTTTTGGCAGCAAGGGAGAATGAGAAAGAACAGCAATAATTTCTTAGTGATGTGAAATTCCAATATCTAAACACTTGCGGTAAACTTGCGCATGTTACTAACGATGTGTATATTTCTTTGTCTTATGAAAGATCTGGAGTGTTTGGTATCTGAGTATATCTTTATTTCCCACCTAGCTAGAAACCAACTCATAAAAAATTTGTTATGTTCAAACATCTTATAAGTAAAAATCAAGAAGTTTTCCTAACTGAAATGAAATAAAAAAAAAAATGGAAAAGGACCGCGGATGATATCTATCTATAACGTCCACGTAAAGTAAACAGATAACGCTGGATTTGACCCCCTAATTTTGGGGAAATCTCAATCAGAAGAACACAAAAGAAAGAAAAAGAGGAAAGCTATATAACAAATCACCTCACTATGATATCTGATCCCTCCCTTCATGGGACCACGAGCATTGTCGTGCTGCACTCGGTACCCAATGTATGTCACCAAGCTTCCATCATCCTTGGGAATCGTGCACTCGACCTAGTTGTGAATGAAACCATAACGTAAATATCATATTATCAGAATCTTGATTCTACCAGAAACCAAAAAAAAAAAAAATCAGAGTCTTGACAGAGTAAACCGAACACATCCTCTCACTTTCGTACAAAATTTGCGAGCATGAATCACAGACACAACCCTGCATACAATGTCTCTCTAATGGAAATCTTTCAATTTCCGGAGAGAATACAGAATCAAGAGAAAGGAAAACCCACGAAAAGAAAAGGTACACAGATGAGGAAAGATCGTCTTTCATCACCTTGACTTCTCTGTAAGGGATCAACAGGCTTCTCTCCATCTTTGCATCTATTCCAAGCAAGCGAATCGCTCTTTCGAAATTACGAGTAGTAGCAGCAAGAGCATTCATGATTGATTTCCCAGACATTATCAGAGAACAGAGAAGAAGAACGCGTATCAGTTTGCAAGAATTCAAGAAGTAGAATGAAGGAATACGTAGCTTCAAACTTTCTGGAAAATAAAATGCAGAAAGATCGAAGCCTAATCAACAAGAAAGAAAATCTTGAAGAGGTGAAACGAAGAAACTAAACGGCAATGAAACTAGTCCTGATGAAAGCCATGAAGTGGTTGTTGAGCGGTTTGTTATATATATACATAGTGAGAGAGAGAAGCTGGGAAATTGGAACCTGAATTCCGTTGTACTTTTCGTTTATTTTATTGTTATTATTACTATTATTGTTGTTGTTTTTTCTTTTCTTTTCTTTTACCTTGATTCAAGAATTTCACTTGAAGTATTGAATTTTGATTTATCATTATCAGGATTTGTAATATTGATATTAATTAATATTAACTCTTAAATACTAAATCCATGCAATTTTTGTATTCTTAATATGAGGGATTTATTTTTGAAATTTCGTGTAATATATGAACACCGTCTAATATATTTAAATATAACAAGTTAGTATTATAAAAAAAAAAGTAAGAAAATCTTTTATTACACAATAGCACGATGCTATCTGCAATCACATGTCATGTTGGGATTTAACATTACGTAAGACAACAAATATTTACGCAATAAAATTGAGACAATTAGATATGAAACTAATTTAATTTTGGTCTTGTTTAAAAAATATGCTCATTAATTATTTGTGCATATTAGTCCTATGCTAATGTACTTATTTTGACATATGTATGCGCTTGTGCATGAGTCAAAATATATATTAAATGTACAATATCATCTTGTTAAACATGTCATGATTAGATCTAACGTTGCGTTATACATTAGAATTTGCATAATGAAATTGAGACTATTAAGAAGTTGATTATACTTATTAATTATTTGTATGACATGATTGGATCTACACTTTGCAATGTATAGAAAAGATTTGTACAATGAAATTGAGAATATTGAGAAGTTGATTATACTCATTAACTATTTGTGTATGTTAGTCCTATGCTTAACGTGTACAATCCTATTGGCTTGTATTGGTCAAAATATAGGTACATTAAATGTTTGGTGCTACCTACTTGGATCAATCACACCCCATGTTTAGATCTAACATTGTATTGAGTAGTAGAGGTTTGCTTAATGAGATTAAGATTGTTAGATATAAATAAAGGTTAATTAAATTTTGGTCCTATTTAAAAAACAGATATGCTTATGTTGGTCCTATGCTCTAATGTATATAGGCCTATTAAATGCAATAAATGCTTTTATAAAATATGACTATTTTAAATAAAATTAATACCAAATTTTAAGGAAAATAAAATTTATCAATGAATCTTTTAAAACTTAACAACTTAGGGTCTTAAAAATTATTGCGATTTTTCAGATTTAATTAAATATTAAATATTTAGATAATAAAACAAAAAGTTAACCAATTTTTTCTTTAGTTTTTTGTTTTTTGGTGTAATTAACTGATTCTATTTTGCTGACGAGACATTCATGTCCTCTAAAAGGACGGAAGGTATCTTTATTGCAATGAGAGGAAGACCAACGCATTTGAATTCTAAATTATAAAATGAATTTAAATGCAAAAAAAACAAAAAAGGAGAGCTAAAAGCATAAGTAAAAAATAATTATCCTGAAAACCATGTATTTATTTAATTTTTATCATTGGAATTTGAATCAAAGACGAAAAGGCTAATTTTGGTCCTCATGCCATCGAGATGAGGACATAATGGGACGTGAATCTTTATTGGATTTTAAAACTAATATAGTAGAAAATTACCCGTACAAGGAACATTTTGAAAGGTACATTACCCACGTGTGTGCAAAAACATTTTTTATTATTTATAATTACTTAATTGAATTAAATTATAATTAAAACTAGCAATATTTAATTGAATTATTGGTTATTGATGTGGGATCAAAAAAAATTATTGACGTAGGCAAAAAGAGAATCAAATTATGATAAATATGTATACAATCAAATTATAAGAAATAGGATATACAATATTTAATATTATCGAAATTGGATTAAAACAATCAATTCAATAGAGAAAAGACCAATGAAAAGGTGCTTAAATTAGTTTAAAATTCTCATAAAATTAATCATTTTAAATATCAGTAAAAAAAGCAAATTAATGATTCAACTGTTTGGCCTTTTTTTTAATCTAAGGTTACATATTTACATTATCAATTAGACAATGTTTTTTATAAATTAACATATACTCCTTCTGTTTAAAAATATAAGGTATTTTTAAATGAATTTTACTCCCCAATAAAATAGCTACTTACTTTCTAACTAACTCTATCTTTTTATATTTACCCCTATTAAACAAGGTTATAAAATCATTATCAATAAGAATATTTTTTAAAAAAAACAATGATTACACCTCAAAAAATTAAAAATATATTATATTTTTTAACATTTAACTTCTCAAAAAATGTCTCACATTTTTTAATGGAAGGAGTAACAATTTGTTATACATTTATACTTTATATTTGTGACTTTTTTAATTAACGTAAACTAGTAAAATAAGGTCTTAACTAATTAATTAATTACTATGAAATATTGGCTAAAAATTATTGAGCCCTAAAATAAAATTGATGTTCTAAATTTATAAAAAAAAATAATGATGTTCCAAAATAGGGGGAGTCATGTGGTCAAACTTCAAAGTCATGGAAAGAGCCGTGAAGCAAGCAGAAGAGTTTTTCTTAATGTGGAATATATAGAATTACGTTTCGCCGCGTCTCGTCTTATCTTCAGAAATCAAATCAAGCAACTGAGTCATGAATGAGTTGGCAAACACGGGACACAGCCGATTTCACCTATCAACCTCATCTTATTATTATTATTGTTGTTATTTAAAAATAATTAAAATTTTGATCCATTAAATTTGTCTCAATTAACAATTTGGTCTTTAAAATTTAATCTGTCATCAAAGAAGTCCCCAAATTTAGATGGTTAAAAAAACAAGTCCCTACAGCTTCAAAATCATACCCAATTGATCTTTTTAGTTTGAAAAGGAAAATAATATCATAAGGACTAATCATACATAATTATAAAACTTTGTAGATTTGATTAAGAAAAATTAAATTGCTAAACACAGTGGAACCATTAAATATTGAACTAGTAACTCGATCAATCCAATGGTTAGTCCAATTTTTTAAATATTGAAATTATACACAACTATTGTAAATTATTTACATTTGTTTAAATTGAACATTAATTTTTTCCCTCAATTTCTATGATAAAGTTAAAATTGTTAGGCTGGAAAGGTATCACCTGAGTGGAGTGTTATATTTTAAGGGAAAAGACATAACTTTTAATCTATACACTTTGCTCGTATTTTGTTATACATTCTTGTACTTTTTTTTAGTATTATAAGTCCTTAAATGAATTTAAAATATTAAAAGATAAAAGTGTAGAAATGTATAATATTAAAAAAAGTACATAAATGTATAATAAAATATGACTAAAATATAGGAATTAAAATTTATAAATTTTCTATTTTAAAATGAAACACACATGCTTTACACGACATTTTGACTTAAAAATTTAAGCTATTTATATAGGCTTTTTAGTGCAAGTACATATAATATGAGACTTGCACTTTTAACTCACATTTGACTCCTAACATTTAATAGATAAAATGTTATATCATCTCTCTTAATTTTTTAAATAATTAAATTGAATTACATAATTGTTTTTTCTTTTGGTCAATTTCTAATATTCATGAATATATTAGGTTCAAAGGATGCCACCTGAATAAAAATTTACCTTAACTTTCAACTTCATTGCATTGAAAATGAAACGTACCAGTTATATACCAATTTTTGCCTCAAAACTTTAAACTATTAAAGTTATAAATACATTCTATTCATATAGATTTTTAGGTCCAAATATATCTAATACAAAACTTTTTTATACTTTTAACTCATATCTAACTTAGAAGTCCGAACATCTCGTAGTTAAATATTATATCTGGTGGCGGAGCCACATATAATTGAGGGGGGCATATGCCTCCCCTCACTTAAAAAAATGACATCTTTGAGAGTATAGGTTTTTATATTTTACAATTTACATCTTTTATTTATTATATTTTGCACTCTCTTATTTTTATATTTTAAATTTTAAACCCATTTCAATCTTATTTTTTTAGCCTAAATCTATTCAAATTTTTAACTTAGTCTTATGAATATTGCCCACAATTTCACTGTACCTAAATACCAATATTATTTATTAATTGTTTAAAAAATAGAAAAAAATCTAATATGACTAAATAGACTCACTCCTCATCCTGAATACTGTAATGAGCGTCCTAAATTAGGATTTAATCATCACACTAATCATGGTTAATCAAAAACTAACTCAAATAGATTATTCATTACGAGATTAACCTAAATGAATTCTTAACATGTATTTTTTTTACAAACTATTTAATACAAAGGGATCCCAAGTCTTTAAAATATTTTAAAAATTCATATCATTTAATTAAACATATGCGGAAGCATGATAATAACTATTTTTACTTGCACAAATATTTTGGCCCATTACTATAATACAAACATCAAAACACATTCTCAAGGGTCCAAAATGTCTTTCTATCCAACACAAAACCCATAGTGCAAGTGGATTAAGAATATATTATCCTAATTGACAATATCATAAACTAAATACACATATCAACATAAAAGGAGAGAGGCCTACAGAAGTGATTATTATCACTTGGCCTAATGCTCCTTTCCTCTGTTCTTCTCAGATGAGCTAGCTCTTGTAATATGTTAAAAGAGAGGGATGAGTACAACCACTCAGTAACCAAGGTACATCTAAGTTATACAAATGCATGATAATTAATCATGATTACAAGTGGCCAATAAATTAATTAAAGTGACCATTCAAACAATTACATTAATAACATGTTAATCACATTAACATTTAACTCATGTGAATAATTTTAAGACTAAAGTCAAGTACAAAATTTGCACAAATAACTACAAATACATTATTCACATAATTACTACATGTTCTCATTTCTACGATTACAATCATATTCTCAACATAGCCATCAATCACTCAAATGACATGATAATAATAATATGCATGATCGATCTCTTCCTTATATCCCTCCTTATTTCCTCTGACATGAAATCCGTGGACCAACAACTGAAAGGGATCGTCCGTGTG